GAATATTTTTCATATGTACATTAGAAGTATCATTATGAACTTTTGCAAAAACTAAAAACTTGATATCACTAAGAATCTGAGCAGGGAGCCTCATTTTGCCTTGAAAGATTCTCCGATTTCTCTCCTTCCAGATCATATAAACTACAGTGGATAAACATATCCTCTTCAATTACTTCATAGGGCCTTTTCCTTTCAAATTACATGAATACTAGTTCAAAACCAAACTCCATACACATGACCTCCATCTATATCTCAGCCATTCCATCACTAAATTCCAGACTTCAGCTGAAAATTGACATTCAAAGAAAACGTGGCTACTTGTCTCCAGTTCCTGTCTATTACACAGGACACAGTGAGTCTGATTGGTGCTCAGGATACCCATTCGGCACAATCTATCCTTGGTGAGAAGTCTTGAATGACAAACTAGCCACAATATGAAAGAATGTTTAGGATATAAAAAACTATCCCATACAGTTTTAGCCCAGGGCACTGTAATCGTAGGCTGGATAAGAGACTTGTAAACTACAGATAATTAGAGTTTGTCATCAGCATAACATTCAGTTATGGCAGCCTCAATATTGTCAACACTACTAAACTTGTGCAACAACATATCTCTCACTTTAAGGAGTTGCCTCCATGTCCATGAATCATTTGTCTTGGATGGAACAGACTAGATATTGAACTTCTGTAGATAGTTTCCATGAATCCACTTTATCCATAGTAGATCCTTTTTAAGATGAATAATCCAAAGGAGCTTAGTAGCAGCAGCATAATTCCAGAGCTTAGCTAAAAAAATCCCCAGCCCCCCTTGCTCCTTCCCTTGACACACAGATTTCCAATTCACAAGATGAAGTTTATGTCCCCACAGAAATTCAGAACTCATTCTGTCAATTCTTTCCAATACTTTAACTGGCAGAATGTAATTGCTGATCCAATATGTTTGAATGCCTAATATCACAGATTTTATCAACTCAAGCCTGCCTGCATAAGACAGATATTTTTTCTGTTGCCAGGTTTGGAATTGCTTGTTTATTCTTTCAATAAGGCAGGAGCAATCAGAATACGAGAGCCTTTTAGCATTCAGTGGCAGCCCCAGATACTTCATAGGCAGTATACCCTCAGGGAATTTAAGATAATTGCATATCTGAATTTTGAGACTATCACTAACTCCACTAAGGAAAACAGAGCACTTACTTGCATTAGCTTCCAAGCCTGAAGCTTGTCCAAACTCTTGTAGGCATTCATAAATTTTTGCAATAGAGCTCATGTCAGATTTACAGAACAAGAGCAAGTTATCGGCAAATATCAAATGATTGATCTTCAGTTTAGAACACTTCGGGTGAAATTTGAAAGAGGAGTCATCCTTTAAAATATCAAATGATTGATCTTCAGTTTAGAACACTTCGGGTGAAATTTGAAAGAGGAGTCATCCTTTAGAGCACTAAGTTTTCTAGATAGAAACTCCATACCAATGACAAAGAGATAAGGGGAAAGAGGATCCCCTTGTCTTAATCCTTTTGCACCATGGAAGTATCCATGAAGCCCCCCATTCAATGCTAAAGAAAATTTTGGAGAGGAAATACACTCCATGATCCAGTGAACCATGATCATAGGAAACCCCAGACCAACCAACATACTTCTTATAAACTCCCAATTAATAGTGTCAAAGGCCTTCCTCAGATCAACATTCAGAATAGTTCTTGGGGAGTTATTTTTCCTTCCATAGTGTTTGATAATTTCATGAGCAAGTAAGAAGTTACTGGATATGAGTCTCCCTTTCACAAATGCACACTGAGCATCATTAACTAAACAGCCTATAATTTTTTGCACCCTACTAGCAATAACTTTAGAGATAATTTTGTAGATTACCTCTTCATCCTTGGTATGGAATATTTGACAAGAAGCTTGAATCAGCTAAAGGATGATAAAAACTTCAAATTTCACCCCAAGTGCAAAAATCTTAAAATTACACACCTTGTGTTTGCTGATGATCTCCTTCTTTTCTGCAGAGGGGACCCTTATTCTGTGATTAAACTATTTAAATGTGTTAAATCATTTGGTGAATGCTCAGGTCTAGAGGCTAATCCTACTAAATGTTCTACCTTTTATGGTGGGGTTTCTGAAGATATTAAGCAAGTGATTAACAATTCCTTGGGCTTCTGTGAAGGTAAACTTCCAATCAAATATCTAGGCCTACCCCTTATCTGCAAAAGAATGACTTACATGGACTGCAATCCTCTACTCTTGAAAATATCCAATCAATTCCAGAGCTGTATGAAAAATAAAAATCTGTCTTATGCTGGAAGGATTCAGATTATAAAGAGTGTCATTTTGGGTGTGCAAATTTTCTGGACATCTAGTTATATCCTGCCAGTCAAAGTGCTACAAAAGATTGATGAGTTATGTAGATGCTTTCTACGGGGTAAATCAGCATCACTTGTCTCATGGAGTAAAGTTTGTGTTCTAAGGAAGAATGGAGGATTAGGAATTTTCTCAGCTAGGCTTAGGAACTCAGCTGCAGCTCTCAAAATCCTTTGGAGTATTCACTTGAATAAGGAACAATTATGGATTAAATGGTCCCATGAGAACTACCTAAAAAACAGTAACATATGGCAGGTAAATGCTAAGAAGGGGGACTCTTGGATGTGGAAGCAATTATTGAAAATCAGAGATAAATGCCTTGCTTTGTGTGGGGGGATTGAAAATCTCAAACAACTTATCAACTCTTGCTGTGTCAATTCAAAAGTCCAAATTTCTGATCTCTATTCCAGTTTATCACCTGGTACAAATCAAGTGGCATGGCATGACACTGTGTGGGAAAAGTTGAGCTATCCTAAACACTCTTTTATCCTGTGGCTAACAGTCAATGACAAACTTCAAACTCAAGATAGACTCCTAAAACATGGGATTATACAAGTTTCTGTCTGTAAACTATGTGATGGTTCTTCAGAGAGCAGAAATCACCTCTTTTTTGAGTGCAAGTTATCAAATTCTGTGTGGAATGGTATTATGGAGTGGCTCAAATTCAAATGGAGATCTTGTGACTGGTCTGCACTACTGAATTGGTACTATTTCAGATTGAAAGGCAAAGGAATTAAGCAAAATATTAAAAGGATGGCGCTGGCTGCAGCAGTATATAACATTTGGAGAGAAAGGAATAACAGGATTTTCAAGCTGAAGTATAAAGCTCCTGATGCTATAATCAAGGATATTAAGATGGATATTCTTGTGCTATTATGAATGGTTTCCCTGCGGCTGAAGACAGAGAGTGGATTCTCTCCTTGTAGCTGAGAAAAGTATCCATGGTAGAGGCATAGAAGAAGCACGAAACAGTGTTGCTATGTCTTTAGGCACACTGTACATAATATGTACAGGTTTTATTTTTGCTCCTTGTGGAGTTTTTGTGTAGCTGAGCTCTGGTTCTGAGCTCTAGAATCATCGATGTACATAATTCTTCATTTTGGTGATGAAATAAAAAATTTTCAATTACCAAAAAAAATCAAATTTAAACACCTTGTACCGATTAGATATGAATTTGAATTTTTATTCGCTAGGGTATAAGCCAAACTCGAATTCAAGTTTAAAGGTATTCGGTCGAATTCCACCCACTTGTCTATACTTTAGTTACGACATACCCTATTTTCTTTGTGAAAATCATGTCACCGCTCAAATTGAAATATATGTCATAGCCAATTACAAAAACCTATCATAAAATATCTTATAAAAAATAGTATATGTGTCCCTTTTATATAAAAATTGAGATGATCAGGTTTTCGCATCCATTGCATGTGCATTTATACGTGTAATAATGCTAGTATGCAGTTTAATGAGGGTAAAATAGTCTCTTTGTTAATTTTGAGCATTGGTATTTGTATCTTTTTTGGGAGACTCACTTATCTCGTAGCACATTAAGGGGCTGTTTGGTTCCCTGTTTTTGAGGGAAAGCCACTGTTGAAACCTGCCAAAAGTGTCACTTTTTGACAGGCTTTCAAGCAAAATCCTTTTTTTAGAGGCATTTTGGCTTAAAGCCTGCCAAATTAAGAAGTGACACTTTGGCAGGCTTTCAAGGGAAAAAGATTTTAACCAAATAGCCCCTAAACATCAAGATCATGTATCTCGCTCTTTCTCGCTCTAGTGCTGAGGCGAAAAATGTAGGACAATGACAAGCGCTGCGTTTTAACTGAAATTATTAAATACCGGTTTGTTTGGATACAGTGGCGTGGTTGTGCCCCCTTAAACTTCCTGCATACTATAACAATCAAAATGTGATTCACATAAAACCTAATCATGTTATTCACGGTCATAAAGAAGCATTTCACGGTGGACTGTTGCATGGTTCATAGATCTCTCTTCTAATATACATTCCGTCCACGAACGAGCGGTTTGGGAGAAGATGTTAATATAGTAGCATGCATCTCCCCTTGCTGCATATCTGACACTGTTTATGACGTGCTCCGGTAGTAGGATTCGGATCTTCTTCGAAAGTAGTAAAAAGAACACTCCTTTTAATTTAAAACCTTGATTGCTTACAAGGGATGATCATGGAGAACTGCGATCCATTCCGATGACAACATTTTAGCATATCCACAAGTTGCACTGATTCCTATTCAGTGTTTGGTAAAACTCAAGTCCAAGGGAACAAATCACAAACATGCATTAAACAAATCCAACTTTTGTGAATAAAAAATAGTGGACAGATCCACTATTTTTAATAGTGGAGTTTTAATAGTGGAGAGAGGAGAGGATCTGTTTCTTTATAGGGTTGGAGTCCGATTCCCTCCACCGTCGAGGTTGTAAAGAGATGATGCTTTTAATTCAGACCCTAGATTCTTTTTGCGATCCAACCTCATGTCAGGCGTTCGCACGCCCGGCGCCAACCTAAAATTAAAACAGACAAGACGGAAGTCGACAACCCCATATCATACGCTCAACGCGCTTGTTCGCCTAAAGTAACGCCACGTCACTACGTCAGCATATCTGTAATATTCAGTCATTGACATACGATAAAAGCTTAAAGGCACAAAATTTCCTCGACTGACTCCTGTACATTAAAGCTTTCAACACGCTAACTAAGAAAAAGGTTTCTCCCAGTACCAGCCACAGATTAAGAGAGAGAGACCCATGCTTTTAATTAAGTTGTCATCACTAAAGCCCTAAGGAGGTGAGCAAAACGTCATGGCAATTTCGGCCAATAGTCAAGAGCTTGTTAGCAAAGCTTCAAGATGTCAGCCGGAGAAGCTCCGTTCCCTGCGCCAGTGTGCCACAGTGAACTTGACGAGTGTGTTGGCTGTTCACCAAGGGCCAACAGAAATTCTGTCCACACGGATCAGAGCTAGCATCATCCATGTTGTAGTAAGCCAATGAAATTGACGATTGGTCGACAGTAGAGCTTTGAAGCTGAAAAAGATTGTGCACAGAGGCATATGGATCATTATTAGGATGTTCCAATGCATTACTGCTCTCCATTGTTTGCTGTGGTGCGCCGTTGGTTTGAAAATTTCCTGTTGCCCAGTTGCAGATAGTCTTATTAACACTTGTGATCGTCAGGAATGGTGAGTTGTTTCCGTGGGCAGACTGCTTTGTTCGCTCAGGCAATGCTCTGGTTGACAGCTCTGTGCTGGTGATAGCTGTCATGGAGGTTTTGGGCTGCAGAGCTTTCTGCTGTTGCATCCTTTTGGCTGATGTTCCAACAGGTAGCTCGCTGTTGGCAATAGCCTCCACGTTGTACCTACTAAGGGCAAAGTTTGTAACGGCGTTGCAGCCTCTGAACTTGATTGCAGCCACATCATAGGCCTCAGCAGCTTCTGCTTCAGTGCCTGTTCATTTCAATCAGCAACCACGTTAACCAACTCAGGTTTAGAAAATCACTCCTAGCTCTAGAACTCCAATTTGTAGATTTTGATACACTGTGGAAGCATGTTCTCTACATTGTTCCTATGCAAGCATTCCTCCTCTTTTTCACTTGTAGGTAGGATTTATTGTTAATCACTATTTGAAAATTTGCGCAATAATTTGCAGTCTAAATGAAGAAACAGGAGTAGCTCCCACAAAAGCAACCAAAAAGTTGCTTGGAAGATGCTGTTCAGTCATTTAAGTACCATAAATAAATAAGAAGCGAGTAGTCACAAGAAATATATGAATACTTAATACTACCATAAAAAATGAACTTGAAAAACTATTTAACTTACCAAATGTCCCTAAATAAAGATCCTTGTTCCCTGCTACTCGACCTATCCTTGCTTGCCACCGACCTTGTTGATGATGTCTGCAGAAAGTCATTATCCTTAATTTTTCTTTAAATAATTAGTAAAAGTGAAATTGACGACATTCTTGGTCTTTACCTTGTCACGCCTCTGTAGACAGATGCTCCCCTAGAAAACCCACTACTATTTCTGGAAAAAGGAAAATCCGAAGATCCAGTAATAAGATGAGAATCTGAAGCAATTACCTTTCTCTAGAAGCTCATTCTGAAAAATAAATTTACGTTTCTTACCTTCGAATAGATGCAATAAATTCTTGTTTTGTCATGTTTTGCATAATCTCAATCTCATTGTAGTACCTATCCACCTACAAAAATAACAGAAGTTGCAGTTATCTTCAAGAAAGAACAAGAAAAGAGAGAATCCTGAAAAATCCTGATAATATAGAGGATATATTCTCTCGAAAAAATATATATATGCACATGTGTGTGTGTATGTGTGTGTGTGTGTATATATATATATATATATATATATATATATATATGAAGTTGCAGTTATCTTCAAGAAAGAACAAGAAAAGAGAGAATCCTGAAAAATCCTGATAATATAGAGGATATATTCTCTCGAAAAAATATATATATGCACATGTGTGTGTGTATGTGTGTGTGTGTGTATATATATATATATATATATATATATATATATAGAGAGAGAGAGAGAGAGGGAGAGAGAGAGAGGAATATGGGTATATCCCTGTCAAGGATCCTTGGTAGTGATGTGGACACATCTTGTCCATACATCACACCTT